CAGGCCTTCACCACATTATTGTCCGTGTCCCTGGGTTATGCATATAGGCACATAAATGCTTCGGTTAATCTCTCTCCACCCAGCCCCCAGCCCCCTTCCCTCCGAGATCCCTCAGTCTGTTCCATGCGTCTGTGGATCTGTTTTGTTTGTCAGTTTATTTTGTTCATTAGATTCTACTGAAGAGTGAGATCATGTGATACTTGCCTTTCTCCGGCTTATTTCACTTAGCGTAAAAGAGATCCTTAATTTTTAAAGAGACGAGTCTGTAAAGCCAAGCATCCTTGAAAGTAAACTGAGATGTTTAATGCCATATGACAAAAAAAAGATTAGGCACTTATATTGCTCTTGGTATTTTTGCAGAGAGAAGTGTAACCAGAAGAGAGTCTCTAGTTTAACAAAACTGAGGGGCTTGTAGCAGAAGAAAGGAATGAGCTTCAGTGAGCACACAGGGCCCTCAGGCCTTTCTTAGAGATAACGTTGTTGTTAATATTTCTACATAATTTCAGCACGGTCAGGGAACATACGTGGCAGGATTTTAAAGTTTTAAAATGTATTGAGACTTGTCGTATGGCTCAGTACATGGTGAATTTTTCATGTTTCCTTGAAAAGAATGCGTATTCTGCAGTCTCTGGTCTTCGGGTAGAGTGTGTTATAATTGTCAGCAGGATGGAATCATTTGAATTACCCATGAATTTGCTGTTAACATCACAATTAATGTGGAGATACCGCTGTTCTCTTGTGTGAAATGTGTGTGCTCAGAGGTATGATCCGAGAGAGAATCCATGAACCAGGAGCATGCATTTTCATTTCTTGGAGATGAATCTCAATGTTGGAAAAATAAAACGAAAACACCCTCACAGGTGTCCTCAAGTAATCCTTAAATAAAAAGAAAATATAAATTTGGAAGCTCAAAAATCAAGACTTTTAAAAAATATATATACCTTTATTGATTTCAGAGAGAGGAACGGAGAGGGAGAGAGAGAAACATCAGTGATAAAGGGGAGACCTTTCGGGTGTTTGTTTCGTTGTGTTTATGCTGTGGCCTCTCCATGTGCAATCTCTCTCTTTTTCAAAGTCCCATTCACAGGACGCTGCGTGAGCACAACACCGTGTGGAAGATGCTGAAGACAGTTCCGGATTTAACTTCTCAGCTGACAGACGACAACCTGAGAGCACTCAGTAAGAACGTCATCTCCGAAACCTGGATAAAGGACAGCACAGGTAACGGGCCCTCTGGAGGGACGTTTGGCAAGATCCAATGCCTGCCCCTCTTTCGAGTTCTCTACTAATTAGCATACGTATAATTTCACTTGACATGTTAAAAATGTCCTGCTTCGATTTCAGTAGTAAGGTTATAAGTCACGAAATGAATTGCACTCCACGTTTCAGCACCTGTGTTTTAGAGACGGCCCCTGGAGTTGCTCCACCTTGAGCTCACGTCGGAATCGTCCAGGAGACTCACTGAGACATACTGTGTGTTCAGCCCCCGAAGTTCCTGGTTCCACGGGTTGGGGATGGGGCATAATTTGCAGGGTCAGTAATATTCCCGGTGATGCTGCTAGTTCTGGGGACCACTCTTTGAAAACCACTCAATGATGTGCAGATTTAATAACAATCTGGAATTGGTGTCCACAGTTACGACCGGGAGCGGTCAAAGCGATTCCCTGACCGATCGCGATACTAATCAGATATTGGGGGAAAACCTCTCCAGACAGATTTTCAGTTTCCCAGTTTTAATTCCTAGCTCCTTTACTAAGGATCTATTGGACGCTTTAATAGAGGTGTTTTATATTTTAATTTAGGGAGCCATGCAAGTCAACACACGTACACCTGAACCCACAGAGTTCAGCATCACTCTTTTTGCATTAATATTAAGTACCTGCTAGAAAAGAGAAACTAAATTCACTTAATACATTTTTTTGTGTCTGGGAATCTTCCTTATTTATTCATCATAGTAACAAGTAAAAGTAGATATTGTTATTAGTCTCTGCTGATGAGGACCCTGAGGCGCAAAACACCACGCCCAGAATTCCTGGTTAGGATGGAATTTCAAACACACCTTAGCCTTAATGCTGCCCATCAGGCCGCTGGTGGGATTCCGTGGCTCCTCAGGGTCAGGACATTTAAAATCTACCTGGAATTTTGGAGCACGTGTGTCTGTTGAAACGGGGACATATTTCGAGAGTTTGGGGAAAGGGAAGCAAGTGTGGCGTGTATGGTCCTCGTGTCCGTGTCAGAGAGCCCAGGAAATAGAGTCTCCACATTGTCTCATGCGGTTTGGTTTTGTTTCAGTGGTTGGAAATGATGGGTTTTATGTGATACTGAAAGGCTGGGCTCGCCCCCGAACACAGATGTACAAAAGCCTGATTGAGGAAGACGGGCCCAGGACCACGTTCATCCCTCAGAGCTTCCACAGCTACGTGTGCAACGAGGACCTGGAGCGCGTGGCCCTGACGGAGCTGGAGCTGCCCCCCTGTGGCATCCTGGTGAGAAGCGAGCGTGCACCTCCCCGTAAGCAGCGCGGCGTCTCTGTTGTAAAATTGTACCTCCAACAGATAAGTCCACATTTCTTCAGGGAGTCCTGAAATAGTTAAGATAATACGTCTTTTAAAAATAAAAAACGATACTCTTAGTATTGAACTTGAAATTGGTTTGAAAAAGTTAATAGGGGAAGCCTGCAACAACCTAGGGGCCCTGGAAGGGGTCCTGGTGTGACTGGGGCCAAGGCCAGTGTGGCTCAACCTCTGGGTGAGGAGGGACGGTCTTTTGAGCTAAGGGAAAGGGAACAGGTGACGGGCGGAGAGAGGACAGACCATGGGAGGCCTTTTAGACCAAGTTCCGAGTGTGGGCTCAGCCTGTTCACCTCGGGAGCAATGCCAAGGTCCTTCCCCTCCCCACTCCCCCCTTCCCACCCCTTCCTGCGCCGTCACCAAGCTGCGGTCTGTTCCACGAGTCCCTTTTTTTCTTTGCTTAATCCCTTCACCCCTCTCACCCAGCCCCCAGCCCCCTCCCGTCTGACAGCTTTTTCTTTGCCGATACCTTGAGGCTTACATAAAATACCTTGAAGTTATAGCTGTCTATTTAAGTTATTCTTAATATTTATCTTTTAACTTTTTATTAGGGCTTTAAGTAGTTTATATGCCATCATCACAGTGTTGCATTATTCTGTATTTATATTTGCCTTTACCAGTGAGAGTTATGTGTTCATATGCTTTCACAGGGCTGTTTAGCACATTTTTTTTCAATTTGTAGAAATCCGTTTAGCAGTTTTTCTAAGGTAGGTCTAAGCGGTAATTAACTCCCTCGGTTTTTATTTGTTTGGAAAAACCTTTTATCTCTCTTTTAATTTTTTTAAGGGTAGTTTTGCCAGGTATAGTATTCTTTATTGGCAGTTTTCTTTCAGTACTTGGAATAAATAATTCCACTCTCTCCTGGCCTGCCAGTTTGCTGCTGAGAAATCCACCGATAGTCTTATGGGGGGTTCCCTTTATTGTGACAAATTACTTTTCTCTTGCTGCTTTAAAAATTCCCTTTGTCTTTGACTTTTGAAAATGTAATTATAATATGTCTTGATGTGGATTTCTTTACATTCACCCTATTTGGTTTCTTTGGGCTTCTTAAATCTTGAGGTCTATTTCCATCTCTGGGCTTGGGAAGTTTGGGGACATTATTTAAGTAAGCTTCCTGTCCCTTTCTCTGTCCCTGCTCTAGGTAGGGTGCATGTGAGGCAGTGGTGCTGGGTCCAGGGTGAGCATGCATCAGGGCTCGGGGACCATCGCGGTGACCGCTCTGGGGGCACATGCTCCATTCCATGGAGACACAGCAGCATGGACTCTGTGGTCTCTGGCAGCGGGGTCCACATTGGCCAAGGCTGTGGCAGCTCTCAGTGATGCAAGTCATGGTGTCCTCGATTGCTGGGGTGCCGGGGTCCTCAGAGGCGAAGGCTGCCGAGGTCCTCTTGTTCTTTTTTACGCCCCCTGGAGAACTCGCAAGGGAGAGGAGTCCTCTCGTCATTGAACTGTGTTGGCTGGGGAATGGGTGGACCTGGGTAAAACCCTTCCTTCCTTTCTCTATGTGACCATTCTCGGTGTTTTGCTCCCCACGGGGATATCGCAGCTTCTTAATTAAAGTCTAACACTCCCCCACAGCTGTTTTGGTTTGTGGATTCTTGTTAAATTACTGTTTTTGTGGGGGCTGAGGGCTGAGTGGGGTCTCTTGATCCGTGACTTTGCTGATGTTGGTGACACCGTTTTGATTCCCTGTCTTGGCTGAGGGGGAGGAGGGCTGGGAGGGCAATTTCAGAGGCTTCCACTTCACCTGCCCTACTCACAGCTCTTAACACCGAGACCAAGAGCCCCCTGTGGATGCTCTGCCAACTGTCCATTCAAACTGCACCTTTAAGGCCCATGGAAATTGCTGCGAGTCGGGCCTAATGACCCGGTGGATCCACTGAGAGTGAGACCTGGGACAAAACTCCATGGTGTTTGGTGCATTCGCCACAGTTCCTCAGTGTAACGTGGCCGTAAGGGACACTTTATGGGCCCTGGTCTTAAAATCACCACCCCAAGTTTCAGGGTTCGACAGAACACTGGCTGAGGTGATCACAACCGTATCTGGAGCTGTGCTATCCTTATCGTTAAATCCTGGGCCCGTCCTCGGCTTTTCCTGCCTTCCAGCTGCAGAAGAGAGTTTCTTGATGTGTTGCCATGGAAACCGTGGATCACATACTCCACGGTAAGCTGACGATTGATTTCCCCCAGCCTTTCGTTCTTTCTCCGGTGTGCCGACACCCCCGGCAACAGTCCCCTACTCCGTGGTTCTCGCCATGACTCATCCCCCAGCACCTTAGAGGTCTGAGGCGGCGTTGCTCTCGGTGTGCGCCCGTCTGCCACCGCCCAGTCCCTGGTCGACACCGTCCCATCCTCCATCGGGGCACTGCCAGGGCCTGCTGGAGGCTGCCGGCGCCTGCTGGAGGCTGCCGGCGCCGGCCGGCAGGCAGGCAGGCAGTTCACAGCTCTAACGTCCTATTTTTTTGTCCCTCTGATAGNGCGGGGTGGGTTTTTATTGCAAGCCGGCCGGCAGGCAGGCAGGCAGTTCACAGCTCTAACGTCCTATTTTTTTGTCCCTCTGATAGAACATTTGTTTAAAAAGGACAGAAGTAAAGGCNTGCTGGAGGCTGCCGGCGCCGGCCGGCAGGCAGGCAGGCAGTTCACAGCTCTAACGTCCTATTTTTTTGTCCCTCTGATAGAACATTTGTTTAAAAAGGACAGAAGTAAAGGCCGACCACTTTAGCCGTCGGTGGCGCTAGAGCTTTTGCTCCCGCTTAAGTGACAAGGGTGTGACTGTTCACTGAACGTACGTCCGATTCCTAAAAATTGAGATTCGGCTGCTGACACAGTCCCCTGTGTAACATGTGAGTTACGCCTACGGAACATGTGGCTCTGCCTAATTTTAGTGACTGACCTTTCTGTGTATTCATTTAGTGGGGCTTTTAAAAGTTAAAATATTGCTACCCCCAAAGATTTGTACATACAGGAATTTTTGTGGGGTTTTTTCCCTACAAGCAATCAAAAGGTTATAGGTACGTGTTTTCTCCACCTTTTAGGCTTCTGGCCGTCATTTGCGTCTTTCCTGCGCCATGTCAGAGAACCAATAAAAGCCAAGACATCTTCACTCTTCAGTTTTACCCTCCAACAGTTTTGTTAACAAGTGGGCGTCATCGGAGCCTAGTGAACATAGGTGAGGGACACGTAGTCTAAGGACCGAGTTCATTTTCCACGGGACAAGTACAGTTCTGAGTAAGAGAGCAAACGTCTGCGTCCTTACTCCCTGGACCGAACCCGACGGGGCGAGTGCCTGGTATGTAAAGAGTAATCGTGTGGTCACTGCCGTGGTCCAGGAGAAACGTTCCGGGGCATTAAATGCACAGTAATTAAATTGTTAGTTTGTGCCTGTGTAAATCAGGTGGTTTACGTATGTGATACCAGGACCGGTGCATAAAGGAAACAAAATGACATTTATTTGTTTCAGTTTGGGAGCTATAATTAGGCCACTTACACCCCTGTTACAGCAGGTAAGAGCAGCGGTTCGTCTCCCTGTAATTGTGTAAATCGGGTAACCAGAGATAATAGGCTCATGTGCATAATTTAATTGCTTGCTGCATGAATTTAATTGTTGATATTTAGATGAATTCCTGTGTTTTATGGGAATAAACCTCCTCTCAAGTATCCTTTTCATTGGCTTGTATCAGTTGCTCCCTGGTCAGTAACAAGCTGTGTGGGTGAGGATGGGGCGGTGGCGGCGAGGAGGTGGGAACCGGTAAGACCAATCTGCCGCCAGTATGTGTGTGGCCTTCATTTGGAGTGAAAATATTTCGAGCAAGTTAATCTCTCCACCACGGAATCCCACTTTTCAATCCCCCAGCTACAAGATATTTCTAATCTACGTGATCAGCACAGACTGTTATCTTTCGTAGTTGAGGATAATCGAGCCACAGAGATCTTACTCACACTGCCCACTATAAAGTTCAGGTTTTATCAGGTATTTGGAGAAAATTTGGGGGGACTTCAGAGGCATCGATAAATGGTGGTTCGAGCTTGAGAAATAAGACATCTTCTTCATAAGGCAGTTGAATAGCAATTTCATCTTACGTCAAGAATAAAATTCAGCCAGGAATTTCACATGGAAATTTATTCTGATTAATGTTAAGTTCTGAGCCAAGCAGAATATGGGGACACCCCGAAGGGTAAAGGCAAAGTCACGTTCGATGAGATTGAGGACTTTATCTTTGGGGTGTCAAAACCCTCCGCGGCCTCACTTCCGAGAGTGGGTGTGGCTCGGCGCTCGGGGGGACTGTTCCCTCAGCTCCGCGGCCTCATTCTTGTCTGGCCTCTGCACATCGACCCCCCTCGGAGGGTCGCTCCCAGTCCCGCCGTCTATTGACTCTTTACATCTCTTGTCTCATTTATTCATAGGTTGTCTTGGTGGGTCCTCTGCAGTTGTCTTAGCTGTTGCTCTTCCTGGAAGCCTATCCCAAGCCCACTGTGAAGGTCACGTCCTTGACATGAGGGAGCCTATTTTTTTCCCTTGCTGCCTAGTATAGTATTCCAGGAACTTTTAAGGCTTTCGGTCAGAATAAATTTAATTAAATGTAGTTTCATTTAATTAGACAGAGCTTTCAAAATATCAAAGATAACTGTGAAACGAGTTTTGATTCAATTAAATTGCCAATAATAGAGAACTTAATCTCCATTGATTCAAAGTTCCTGTTTTCATGTACTGCATGTGTTTTATCTTAACCGATATGTTTAAAGTGTATACAATTATTTTGTTCTTAAAAAAAAAAAAAAGTAAATATTAGAGTATTCAAAAGTCTAAAAAGACACTAAACCTTTCTGCTACCATAATGGAATTGGAACTTAACATTTTATTGTCTCTCCAGTCCTTTAAAAATTTAATATAGGTAGTTTATGATTTATTTAAAACA